GGTTTTCTGAATGCTTCATTTTGTTTTTTAATGTCAGAGAAGAGGGTTAAACAACATGAAATTAAGCGTTATGCAACTCATATTAGACTATTATAAACATTTTTTGAATGATAGTTGAGCATACTTACAGTGCTATGAAAATTTCCCAATTTCTTAGTTATTGCATTTTTTTTACACTTAGTCCTTAGCCCTGTAACAGACTGGCGACTTGTCCATGTTGTCCCCTGCCTCTTGCACTGTGGTAGTTAAATATAGGCTCCTGGTTTTCTGTGACCCTGAATTGAAGGAGTGACAGGAGATGGTTGTGCCACAACTGGCAGTTGTCTTTGCAGAATTGTTTTAATTTAGCCACTTTGGGTGGTTTTGAAACACGAACAGCCTTTAAGTCCAGGCTTTGACTAGGCCACTCCAGAACCATTTGTGGGTTGTTGTTGTTGGTTTTTTTGCCATTTAGAGGTGGACTAGCTGGTGTGGTTTGGATCATTGTTCTGCTGCACAGCCCAAGTTCGCTTTAGCTTCAGGACAATAACTGATGGTCAGACATTATTATAGGACTGGGCAATATATCGACTTTTTAAATATATCGATATATTTTTAAATGAGATGTGACAATATTGTTTATCGTTCTACGCAACGTTACTCTGCCTCACCTCTCTCCTTCACTAACACAACTCCCCTCCCCCATCGCTTCACCTGCAGGCAACAACAAGATGGACACGGCAGCTATCAAAGAGGAGGTGGTCAGTAAAAAGAAAACATTTGGAGATTACTATTTTAGTGCTGGTATCGTTAATCTCGTTAAAATGACATTAACGCCGTAACTGAATTAACACGGCTAATCTCCGTTAACGAGTTACAGCAGATCGCCCCGTGCGTGGGGCTGCATGGCGTCAATGCGTTAGTGCGGTTAGCTTGTTAACGCGTTGACGCCGTGCAGCCCCACGCACAGGTCCCACGATCCGTCCTCGGGACTTCCAGGTTATGCCACCATGTTTGACTGTTGGTGTGATATTCTTTTTATGAAATACTGTGGTAGTTTTATGTCAGATGCAAACCTTCCAAAAATGTCAGATTTTGTCTTGTCAGTCCACAGAATACTTTCCCCAAAATCTTGGGGATCATCCAGATGTTTTTTGGCAAATGTGAGATGAGCCTTTATGATCTTTTTTGGTGAACTCTCCCATGGATGCCATTTTTGCCCAGTGTCTTTCTTGTTGACTTGACTCATGAACTCTGACCCTAACTGTGGCAAGTGAGGCCTGCAGTTCTTTGGATGTCGTTATGGGTTTTTTGTGACCTCCTTGGCTATGTCCATATGTATATGGGGTTTTTTTTTTTTTTTAAAATAGGGATTTCTCAGAGTGTGTTTTGAAAAATATCTCAAAAGCTGTGAAAAGTGTGCCAAATCATCAGGTAGTGATATAACAGTAACCGTGAAGAAATGATGGCTGATTAAAAGCCACAGCGCACAGCCTTTTATCATAAAGGGACATAAAAAACGCACACCTTTGTCCACATGTAAATGCAGAAATGCAGTTTTCTGAAATCTTCACCCTGTCAGGAGTTTTACAAAAGCTCCATTGTCAGTATGCATGAAACAGGCTATGTTTACAAAAAATACCCATGTACATGTGGCTGTAGCAAAGGAGGTCACAAAAGAACTGAAAAGAACATATAAAGAACTGCAGGCCTATGGGCAGAGTTCATGATTCACCCCTGGATGAGTCTTCGATGCACTCTTGGAGTACTTTCGGTAGGTTGGCCACTCCTGGGAAGGCTCGCCACTCTTCCAAGTTTTCTCCATTTTGTGGGTAACGGCTCTCACCGTAATTCACTGGATGTCAATTACTTTGTTTCTCGGCTACTTCTTTACATTGTGTTGGCTAGGAAAACTGAACTTGGAAAAGAACGAGTTAATAAGGTTAATTCATGATAGAACAAAAGGGTCAATTACCTTTTCCCTTAGGGCCACGTAGGTTTGGGTAGCATTTCTCCCTTAATAAATGAAATCATCATATAAAATTTGCTTTTCTGTATTTTTGTCTAATACTAAAAATAGTTTGATTATCTTAAATTTGCACAGTAAGAAATGAATAAGGATTGGGGCATTTTTACAGTTTTTACAGCACTGTAGATGAAGTTATGTTTTGACCACATGCTGAACAAATACACTTTTAGCTTTCAGCTAAAGTCTCATTTATGAATTTTGGCCTTGGAGTTCTCCTGTTGGCAGCGTTACCATTTGGACATTTAGGGGAAATATTCAGTAAATGTTGGTGGGTGGGACCAGGCTAAATAGTGTTTTTGTCACTGAATGGTGGATGTTACTGTCTGAAGAGCCCTGAAACGCTTTGAAAGTGGCCTAGTCATTGGCGTCTTAGCTTTAGCCTCTGACCATCTGTTTCTATACAGCGTGCAAGCTTTGAACACCCCCCCCCCCCCCTTCTCCTGCCATCAACAAATACTCCAAAGTTCATTGTAAACCCCTCCCGGTCCCCCCCCCCCCCTCAACCCAGCTGACCACCGCCCCCATCCCCCAGCAGGCTAAAATCACACCACCCGACCCTCGTAACCCCCCCACCCCCCACCCCCACCCATCCACCACAACTCCCCTACCACCAGCACCACCTCCAAACAAGCTTCCTGGCAGCGGACAGCACCACCAATCATCACTCTGTTGCCAAGGCAACCTCCCCCAGCAACAGCCGTCACTATATCATAGCAGTAGCGGAGAGGACGTGGGGAGGAAGAGGGGGGATGGCCGAGTCGTGGCTCTCAGCATTAAAGAGAGAGTGAGAGAGAGGGGAAGAAAGAAAAGAGGAGGAAAAAAATGGAGAACACACAGCTGCCCTTCAGCTACGTCGCATCGCACCAGCTGCTCCAGTCGCTGCTCTCACTCTCACACACACACACACACACACACACACACACACGTCAGGCTGCTGAGATCCTGTATGCGCTCCGGCTTTGTCTACATAACATTGCTGCTGGGCTTTCTCTTCATTCATTGATACATCTGTGGCCTCCGTGTATTTTCCTCATGTTCTGTCCTTGGATGCTTCGCTAACAAGTCTGGCTGTACCGTGCATCTGGCAGCGGGTCCATCTGTTAGCTTTGGGAGCAACAGATTGCTAATGTGGAACTTTGTTTCTTTGATTGTAGAAGCCACGGTCGGGGGACACTTTCTAAGCAACTCATTTTCTAGGTTTAAAATCCACCGAACTGAGAGGTTTATTACACAGATGAACACAAGGGCACAAGAGATTAAAAAAAAAAACATGCTACAGCTGCTGAGATTTTTAATTATATTTATGATTTTTATTTATACGGCTCTGTTGTTAACAGAGTTACAGAGTGCGTCATTGAATGAAATTAAAGTATTATGGTGACGTTCCAGAAATACAACTGAAGATAAGGCAGAATAACAAAATATTAGACAGGATTTAAAACACACTACTTTAAGCCTTTTGATAAAATAACATAATATGATGCCATTTAAATGAGAAGTTTGTATTCTGGTTTGATTGGGCAGACTGGTCCACTAATTGGGAGCACTAATGGCAAATTATCTTTGTTTGCTAGCTGAGTTGCTTTCACCAATTTTAGCCCTAGATATACCTTTTATTTAATATTCTCTGTTTCCTGTTTGTGATCTCACCACTCAGTGAGTAGTTGGCAAGTGTTTGCAGGCAAGTTGGCATCTTACCTGAAAACTAGGATTAGCAGGTGAACCTAAATTGCCCAAGGGTGTGAATGTTTGTTCCCTGTGTTGGCCAGGATAGTTTCCAGCTCCCTGCTGTATAAAAGCTGTATAAGTGTTTAAGAAAATGGATGGATGGGTTCTAAAGTAGGAATGTACTCATCTAGTCCAATCCCGACTCAGAGCTGGATTCAGTATAAGGTGGGTTGGCTTCCTAGAGTGCTCAGGTGTAGCAGAGGGTCCGCTTTTCTGTGTGGTCAGGTGAGACGGTATTGCTGAAAAACTCTGACAGCTGTGATGTTGTCACTTGTCCGGTGCTCATTGGAAAAGCTTTTGTTGCACTTTTACGGTAACGAAATGTGTTGACACTGACGTCAGTAGGATTTCACTTATCAGCTCCCCTCTGCAAGTGAGTTTGTGTGCATGTGTGAGGAGGTGGACACACAGCGAGAGCAAGTAAAGGTGAGAGCAGCATGCAGTCACCTGATGATTTTCAAGCAGCATGTTGCGCTATCTGCAAATTAGAGACAGTCAACACTGCACTACAGTGCACCTTAGCACGTGCTCTTTTATTTGAGTTTAAAGAATTATAAGAGGAATGAGTGCCAGTCTGCGGCTGTCTGCTTATTAAATTCAGGTTTTAGATCAGCACTTACAAAAAAAGGTATCAGGTATAAGAAATGAAAAGTTCTTGCAGCGTTTGAATGCAAAATTATTATTAATTTATTAATAATTTGTTATTGATTATTGCACTGTAGAGGCTGGTGAGGAACAACATTTCGTTTCAGCTGTGGATTTCTGTAAATACCATGTGAAATGACAATAAATCCTACAAACTTATATTAACTTAACTGAAAAATGAGAAAAAAAATAGGAAAGCAATCTCCTTATGTCCACAAGAAATAGATGGCCATTTGACGATTGTGTTATCTTATTGGTTAAAACAGGTACTGATTTGCAGTTACAGAAAAATGTTAAAAATTTGGTGATTCCCACCTCTACGAAATACAGTGAAGGCTCCAAACACTGGACCCTTTGGTAGTCTGGCTGGGGGCCACAGGTCCTTTGTTTGACATCCTTGATGTAGGCCATCCATTCTTGTTGATGAATGCAGTGAATATTGTGGATTGTTTTAAAAAATGTAACTAGAATTACACTTCAGCATGCTTTATCATATGTTTTACCAAAAATATAAAATATTGCTTAGTTCCTTAGTCGTGAAGTATCAGTGCTGTCTGTATTAAAATACACACCATGTCTGATGGTTCGAGCTCACCGGCCTCTCCCTGTTGTTTTGCAGGAAACCCCTCGTCACTTGGATGTGGAATGGGCGCTCTACAGCCACATGTCAACGCCGGTGGAGGTCAGATGTACCCGCAGCAGGTCCATCAGGGCATGCAGCAAGCAGTGGTATCTCATCCTGCCTACCAGGGGCAGCAGCACTTCTCCGACAACCCGCCCTACGCTGACAGCAACAACGCCAACTCCGGCTCCATGGCCTGCCTCTACCAGAACTACCAGGTGGAGCAATGAGTCATGTTTTGATCTGTGTAGTATTTCAGATGTTTTAGATGACATTTCTAATCACAATGGCCCCTCTCTGTATCCACAGCAGGGGATGCTGCCACACCCACAATTTGGGGAGGAGCAGCAGCCCCAAGGTGAGGGACTTCCAGCGGGTACGCCTAGCTCTGACAGAGCCCCCGGCGGAGGGCCAGAATCTGTGGACGCCATCTACAGAGCTGTTGTGAACGCAGCCAGCAAAGGCGTACATGTAACCATCACCACGACAGTGAGCGGGACAACGCAGGCGAGTCCAGTGCACGCCCTCAGTGCCATGAGTGCCTTCACTGCCTCCATAAGGGAACCTGTCAACCTCCCCCAGGCAGTCAGCGCAGTCCTGCATGGGCACCAGGAAGGGGAGACCATACCCCAGCAAGCCAGAGTGCGGCAGGTGAGGCCTGGGCGGGGTCAGAAGAACATGGATCCAGGGAAAAGCACTCCGGATGGCCCTGAAGCCAATGATTACTTCCGTTCTCCTGGACGCGGGACTCCCAGGGGGCAGTGGGACGGGGAGACTCATCATGGGGGAGGCTTTGACAGTCAGAACAACAACAACGCCTGGGGTGGTGAGGAGTTCCTGGAGTGCTCGACCCAAGTAAGGAGTAGTCCCTGCATGGAGAGACCTGCCAGTCTGGCCCCTGCGCCACCCTGCCCCACCGATGGGTCCAACGACCACAGCCTGGTGATGGCCCACGATAAGGCCTACCTCGATGATAGCTTCCGGTTCAACAACTGCGGTCGGGCACCAGCTAACTACAAGGAACGTCTGGAGCAGACGGTGGAACGTTGCGCCCATCTCAACGGCACCACGCCCCACTTCAACACCCGGGGCTACGGAGAAGTCCTGGGCCCTCCACGGCAGGATGACGACCAGTCACCCAGCTCCTCCACGAGCCTGGAGGGCCCTCTGGCTACAGCCAAAGACTACAGCCACTACAACGGCCACTTCAATGGAATGGCACCCAGCCCTTCGGACACGAAGAGCCTGAGCAGTGAGGAGGACCTCCGGCAGCCAGACTCGCCCTCATCGGAGCTGCTCCACTACCGGTCCAGGACCTTCAACATGGGAGAGCTGGTCTGGGGCCAGCTGAAGGGCTTCCCGCCGTGGCCTGCAAAGCTGGCCGGGGATGAGCAAGTGCACAGCGCTGCCATGCAGCTGCGGGAGCAGGCCAAGGTAAGGGGCCGGGGTAGTCTGTCACCACCTGTCACCATTTTGCCAGCCAGCGCCTCAGCCTGAGGAGGCTATGAGCAGCAATCCCAGTATTAAAAGTTTCAGCGAGTCTTGGATTACAATGAATTATCTTCCAATTAAAGGGAGTTGCTTGCCAATAAGTCGAGAATAACTCGTATTTGACTGTAACTTTCAAATATTGCAGCTTTGAAAAGTCAGAAGGAAATAGAGCTTTTTAAATTTCTGTCCAGCGGCCATCGAGGCAGATGGACTCCAAATTACTCCAAAAACACATCCACGGCTTTACCTGCCAAATCAGAAGTGTAGAACAGAGCATGTCCGACAAACGGTGACTGCCAAATTATCCGCTAGACGCGCCGAAGTGATAAACCGGAGTTCAAATTGAGCATCAGTTCCTGGTGCTTGGTGGGAAATTTTCAGTCTGGTGCTGAATGTGCTCAAATTGATTCCACTTTTCTTTGTGCAGGTAGAGCCAGAGAAGCTGAAAACACTAACTCATGACTTGGAGGCATTCGACCGCGCCGCCAAAAGAGGCCTAAAGTAAGTAACCTCACCCAGCACACTGGTGCTTCATTAATAATATAAACCCACCTTTGCTGTAGTTTGAGCTGAGCGAGGCCTTTTCGTGCTTCCTCTGATGATCTTTATCCAAAGTGGCATTGACACCTAGTGGTTAAAGATGGTGTCCTGCAGCAAAGGAGAGGCAAACATTTGTTTAAGTGAAACAATAAAACTTTAAACGCTTTGGGGCAAAAATAGACCATTAACCCTGAAGTGACTGAACTAAAATGACAGAGGTAGAGTCGGAATACTTTATTCAGTGGCTCTGTTTCCACAAACTACACATGTACAGCTTCTTTTTTCCAGGGTAGATATTAAAAACTGTTCTAGTCTTTTATTTCAATAATCCAAAATTAAAGCTTTAAAGGTCTGTTTAAGTGACCTATGTGTTACAGCACACTCGTATCATTTTAACACCCAAATATGGACACATTGGAGGTTCTGTAATCCTCCGAACAACAAATAATGATGGAAGTCATCACAGTGTATACTATAAACTTGTGTCAAAATATTAGAAGAGTGTAAAATTACAAAAAGATCAAATAGTATATAAAATCATATACTTCCCTGTAACTTCTAAATTATCTTTCCTGCACTGCTTATTCTTTTGGCTGCTCCCGTCAGGGAATCATCTGCCTCTAGCGGACCCTAACGCTAGCTTCCTCCTCTGAGGCCACCCCTCTGAATGTCCTCCTTCACTACATCCATGAACCGCTTGGCACCATCTCCAAACCATATATCATAGCAGGTCTCACTCCTGTATTACAACAGTGGGACATTTTCAGTTAAAGAGCTATGAGAAGTTCATTAGAAGCATAAATAAACACGTTGGTCACATGGAGTTGAACCAGCTGCTTCTCCGGTCAGTTTCCTCATCCTGTAGATGGATTCAAGTGTAATAATTATTTTTTAAGCTACCTTTTTGTTGTAGTTTATAATTGTAAAGTTTTCTTCTGCCTAAAAGTAAATAATATAAATATTGTCTGACAGACCGGGGAAACTGAATAATCACTTGGAAGCTGCTATCCATGAGGCCATGAGCGAGCTAGACAAGATGTCGGGCACAGTGAGTATTTGCGCTTTTCCTCTCTTCTCATGCACTGCTGTTTCCCCCGCATTCACCACCACACCGTTTCCTGTGTGTGTGCCATCAGATCCCGTCGAGGGATCGTCAGGTGAAGCTCCCCAAGCCGAAGAGGAGGAAGATATCCAGATAACATTGAATGTGTTGGCCCAAGAACGTCCTCAGAGCCTTTCGGAGACTTTGTCCGTTCAGCCTTGATGCGATCTGAGCTCTCTAACAGGTGCTACACGTGGACTTTCAGTGGTACATCGTTGTTCCATGATATCAACTTGACTTAATGACTGACCACAGAAGGTGCTGGAAATTCCAATCACCACTACAGTTTATAGACTGTAGGAAAAAACATGAATACAGAAAAACATCAAAAACGGTTGCAATTTGTCTACAGCTCACTGAATTAACTATTTTTTTCTAGTATAAGATAGTAAAATAAACAAAAAAAGCTACAAGCATTACCTTACATATTTAAGAAAAATAGACAGTCCAAATATTTCTGATACATTTTCAATATGTATATAGATAATCCTGAAATTTCATGCTATTAAGAATTGTATGTAAATATTGTACAATGTCATGTACAACCGTACCTAATGCACATTTTATCTTTTATTGTACAAAACAAAGCAGAAGTGTACCAATGTCTTGGTTTCTATTCAGAAATGCGGTCGCATATGGCCGCATGCATAGGATAAATAAGAATACAGCCTAAAGCTTTTATATGATGAACTGTAAGATGTGCTGTTTTCTTTTTTCTTTCTTTTTCTTTTCTTTGTTGTTTTATTTTTGTAAGGGAACAGCGATGAAACTGACATGAGCTCACCATAACAGTAGTCACTCCAGCTAAGTGTTCATTTGTAATGGGGAGAAAAAACAGTTCAAAAAACACAGAATGAACTTTACCAGCAGAAAGTGTTCAGTGTCCCACCTCACCCACACCCTGTATCCCTACCCTCCCACACACCCACACCCTGTATCCCTGTCCACCCACAGCCTGTATCCCTCCCACCGAGACCCCAGCCGGCTCCACCAGTCACCACGTTACTTGGTCTGGTTCTGGGTTTTTCAGGTGTTGTAATTTATGAACAAAAACTTTTTTTGAGTGTTTTCAGAAGGAAAAATCCACTCACAGACACTTAATTTTCCAAAACCTCCACAATGATTGTTTTTAGAAGAGGTTCATTCATTTAAAGTAAAAATGATGGGGGGGAAAAGTCCTAAACATGGGTTGTCCAGCTTCTGAAACGGCAAGACTTTTTTTTTATGTTGTTGTAAATTAAATGCTATTAATTAATGTTGGACTTCAGAAGTTGAGCTCTTTCTGCCAGCGTGCTTACATGCACTGTAGTTAACTCCGCTGACGTTACATCTGCTGGCTGTGCAGAGTTTTTAACTGGAACAAGTGTACATTGCAAAACAAGTTTTAGCCCATTTTAGGCTACTGAAATGATGAATTGATGGATATTGGTGGTCTTGGTGCATCTCTGAAAAACATCCCTGATTTAATGATTTCAGTGGTTTGGGGCTGAGGTTTTTTGTGGTTTCTGAGTTGCGGCACAGAATAACGGAATGAGGAACCAGTTTTGAGGCTGCGTAGCGTCGGGTAGCAAGTGAGTTGGGGTTGTTTCAGTGGCAGGAGATTAATTTTGAACAGAATTTCAAGGGGTGCATGAGTGAAGTGTCTGGATTTCTTAGGTAGCCCATCCCAAATTTAATATCATGAGCAGTTCCAACATTGGGGTTGGCCATTTCTGGTTGCCTTTGGACCGTTGGTCTTTGGTTAGCATTTATAGATTTGGCACCAGATAATATGACCCTGAGCTATCTTGTCTTGTCTTAGATGCCTTTAGCTTACCTTTAAACAGCTTTGAGAACCCCACATAGGGTTGCATTACACAGTGACACAGTAGCTTGGGGTAGTATCAGTGAACACAATTTCCAATAGCAGCCCAGCCCATAATCTCTGATGTCAGTGGTTCCAGCTTTGTGACTGGCAATTTTGCAGTGCTGTTGGGAGTGGCAGTCTTTATTTTGTAAAAATCTATGGAATAGGCGTCAGATTTGGCGTCAGCTTGATGGATGTAGCGCAGCCACTTCTGCCTTGTTGTGTCTTGAGGACCAGCCCGCATTTTGACAGTTTTAAAACAAATGTAATACAGTATTAGGTTGTACAAGTTTAAGTAACTTCTTACAGTAGCTTCTCCCACCAGTGGGTCCAAATTTGAGACCGGCATTTTGTTTTAGTGTTTGTTTTCTGTTGGGGGGGTGGCATGCTAATGCCTTGCTAATGCCAATGTTTTTGGGATCTATACAAGTTGTTTTTTGAGGGGCATGCATCTGTAATACACTGTAAAACAAGAGGTAGTAGATACTGGGGGTTGAACAAGGGTTGGGGAAAGTTCTCTGGAACTACAATCATAATGGAAAGAATCTGTGTGCTGTCTGTTTGAAATCACTGTGCATTTCATGTAGTCCCAGACATCTGCCGCTCCAGGTTTGGGACCAGTATTTTGTGTTGCAAATGCATAGAGCTGGTCTAGATTGGGCACTAGCACCTACTAATTGGGAAATATGTATCAGTGGTCTAATTAAGACTTTTTCTTCTATGTCCTCTTTTATGAGGTTTTGGTTGACATTATTTTAAATCTGCAGATGGCATAGCTGGATGCTCTGTTGGCATAGGGTTAACTTCATGTCACTCGAGTGCTTACATGTAAAATGGCTTTTTTCAGGAGAAATCTTTTGCTCCCTGATTACTGAAACCATAAAAGTCCATCGCTACATGCATATAAACACACTGTGAGATGTTTAGAGACTCATCCTGGTCCATTTTCAGTATGATGAGTAAAATAAGCCCTGCTCTTAGATTTGAAAGCTTTAACTCTCATTGTTGGAAGTCAAAAAACCATAAACCACTACATCTGAAAATGCAGACAATTTCAGTTTGCTTTGTGTTGTAACCACAAACTTTGGCCAGTTATTAACATGGGTGGATTTTTCCTTCAGCAACAAGAATCACAGGCTGCATCGAACGATCATGTCGCGATCATATTCACATGCTTGTTTGTACAGTGACTGTTTTTATTTTTGTTCTCCACGTGTTTTTACCCACAGCTTTCAGTAGAGTAACTGACCTCCGAGGCATCTGAAGCAACACTAACTGGGCTTTCCAGAGCAGTGAAAGCGCTTTTATTTTATTTTGGTTTTCCATTTTAGAGGCCTTGTTGTTTGTTTTTCATATTGATGTAAATTATTTATGTACAGTACTCCATATTTATTTTAAGCTTTACAAATATGCTAGATGGCAATAATACTACCAAGAGTTGAGAACTCAAGCCTTATATGTGTATATGTATGTTTTCTTTCCTTTTTTAACAAGTGAATTGATCATGTATTCAGAGTCCATTACAAACAAAAAGGTCATATTCTGTCTTATTTAAGAAGTGAATGTTACAGATAAGTCTTTTTAATTACAGTGAGGTTTTCTAGTCTTCATGTTTTTACTTGTTACAGATTGTGTCATGGTAGAGAAAAAGAGCATCTTATTTATGAATATGCACATCTGATGTTGGTAATAAATGCAGTTTGAACACTACAAGTTATCAGTGTTTGAAGCTGAGAAGAAGAATCATCATTCGATCGGTCTGACAGTATTGGAAATGGATCAAAACCACCGGCAATCTCTACGGAATAACCAAGTGCAATATTACCAATCGATGGCAAAGATCAACACTGCGAAACACTGCATCTCTCATTGTTTGGACTCTTCTGTGTTGCCTGTTTTGCTTTTCTTTCTTTCTTTTTTTCTTAATAGTCATCTTTTCTGATGCTCTAACCTGAGAGCAATGAAGTAGAAATTGATGTGTAGCTTTATTTTTACACGCCAGCCACAACCGTTAACCCAATTAGCCTCAAAGTTTGAACTAAAATACTGTTACTTGAACTTTATACACAAGAACTCTAACAAATAAAAAGTTAAAACCAAATAATACACTACTGAAAGAACAGATTCCCCTTTGTCAGCCTCTAAAACAAGGGGTGCACCATTATTGGCCAAATATCCATACGGACACTGGTATCGGCCAAATATCTGCATCTTTGGTAGATTTACAGATATTAGAGGCCAATATTTTGCAGCAAGAACTAAAAAGACCTTTTAAACAAATTAGTTATTTTACCTGACATCAAGGGTGAAATTTTGTGCAACAAAAACTGAAAAAAATATAGATATATAATTGCCCTTTGAAACATCCATTTCTGTGCTTTCCAAATGAAAACACTACTATGACTACATATCCATAACAAATGGAGCCTTTAAGTCTAATCTAATTCCTGCATTTTTAAGTCAAGTTGTACTGTATTTTCCAATGAGATGTCTCGCTACCTTATTGTGTTTTTGTGCACACTGAAAAAAACTGAGAATGTTTTTTTGTTTTTGTTTTTTTTTTTTTAAAAAAAGCTAATTTTTTTTCTTTGTTTTTCTCTTTTGTTTACTGTTAAAAATATCAGTATCAAACGCGAACACAAGGCATTGTTGTTACCTTCACAGCGGCAACAACATAAGCAATACCTGTGAAAAATGTGTTTAAAAACACGTCCCCGTTATTTTCAGCGTGCACCCTTTTGAGAGTCGAGGTTTTGTTATTTTGTCTTACTGTAAACCTTCGGAGGAGATGTCCTCCGGCCGTTTTCCAAAATGTGACGTTCGCTGTGGAGAACATGTGAGCTGTTTCGGTAAAGTTCATTCTGCCTCGTCTCCCCCTTCTCTCCACCTCTTTTTAAAAAAAACAAAACAAAACAAATTATGTTTTCTTTTTTGGTTTTTGTGCAATGACATGCAGGTTCCTGCACTTGTGACCGGAACCCCATGTGTTACGGATCTGTTATTGGTTTCTTGTAATTCGTGGTCAAGCGTTCAAAGCATTTTTTGTGTTTGAGGTGGTCCGTGCGGTCTATTTTACCCTCCTGTCTCCTTCCACCTGTGATTGTGTGAGGTGTGAGTGTGAGTTTTATTTTTTCCAGTGTTTGTTTCTGCTCTTTAAATCTCCCATCCTTTCGTTGTCAGTATTTTGTTTCTTCAACTTGTAATTAAGTATATATTTTCTCACTAATATATACTTTACAAAAAATAGACCTGCGTGAAGTATGATGTGCACTTGATTGCTCTTTTTATTTTTCTTTATTTGCATTAATGTGGGCTAGGGATAGTTTGTCAGAGTCCATTATTTTGAGATTGTTTGGACTTTTTTTAATGGTTTGATGTACGCAGCATTTTTTTTGTAAATATTGTGAAACATTACAGGTCATGCAGTGATGTAACATTTTGAAAAATGTTGCACAGATGTTTAAGATATTAAAAACATGGTCACTCTTACTTGAATTATCTGATTTGTTGTGCATTTTTATGCCTTTTTGTGGAGGCCGGGTGCTTTTCCCCCCAGGTTTGTTATTAAATATTTCTAAGAGGAAATTAATGAGAAAGTTTGGAGTAAAACCACGAGTCTAGTTTAAAGCTTGTTGTACACTGGCCTCTAGTGGAAAAGCAGGAAAGCACACTTATATGCAGGGTTTTTAACATTAATATTAAATATTACTCTTTAAATATCTGCTGTTTGTCACTCTTCAAATCGCCCCCAAATTTACCTGAAACCACACACACAAAAAGCCCTTTTGCTTGAAAAACATCCAGCTACTAGACCTACTCAGCAGCCCTAGACCTCCTTTTTTATTAAATGTGGATTAAATGCTTATGTTTTTCAAAGTAGTCACAGAACATTTAGTCACATTTTTCACGTGGGGAATACTACATAAAGTTTAAATATAATCAAAAGCTTCAGAGCAGTTCTTAAGAAGGAAGTGAATATTAGCTTTTACTAACTTGGACACTGTTCAAATTTTGTTATTTCACAACAAAACAGTGACTTTAATGTAATTTAATTGTGTTTCTATTACTTATTTTGGTGCAGTGTGAATGGAGCAAAAGCGCTTAAACTTGAGAAAATACTGTTAAAAGTAAAAAGAAAATCTATTTCCTCAACATTTTCCAAAGCCATGTTTGGGGTCTGCCAGGCTGATTCAGACCCCCCGACCTTATGTTTGATTCCCCTACTTTATTCTATAGCTATATTAACATAGAAAGGATTAAAGTATTTATTTTAAGATATACAATTATTCTTTAAGTAATGATTAGCAATAGCTATTTAGTCAGATATGGTTGCTTGCTTAAATTTGAACCTGTGTGAAGCCTATTTAAAGCTATTGTGAAGCTTTACCTATGACTAGCTTGTACATTTGTCAAATTATTTACTAGTTAATTGGAAAAAATCTTTAACATATATATAAAAAACATATTTTTACAGTTCAAGAAAAAAAAGTTGATTACCTTTTATTCTATATTCATATTAGCTTATAAAGTATCAACATATATTTATTAAAAATGTAAAGTTGAGGTAATGATTATCTAGCTAGGTAGGAAAGGTTGCTTTCTCAAGTCTGATTTTTATCATCTGTGTAAGGCTAATGTTAGCTAAACTGGGATTACTTTAGATGCTTGTTGAACCGACACCGGCCAGTTGGGAAAGAAATTACTATTTTTTTTAAATAAGTTCTTTTTAGAGGACCAAATTGTTGGTTTACCTTTATTCTACATCTATATTAGCTTATAAAGGATTAATATTTATACAGTTAGCGTAAGGCCCTCCTTTCTATATCTAAACTGTAACTTAAGCTAATGATTAGCCAGTGTTATTTGCAGCTAAAATGTTTACATTTCCAAAGATGCAGATAGATAACAAAAATAAAAGTTATTAAATATTCTAATTTGCCTAAAATATAGGATTTAACACTTATTTGTACTGTATATTTTAAAAAAATACAATAAACTGTTGATTTAAATATGAAGAAACATGAAGATTCATATAGAGCAGGTTGAGTGCTCGTGCATGTGACTAACTCAGTGATGGTGGTGCTGATGTGAGGTGAAGGCACGCGCCGCGAAATCGTGCGAGCGCGCGCCCCGATCACCGGTAAAGGACGATGCGGCTGTGTGCGCGCACACCCTCCCCGGACTCGGTGTCTCTGCAGAGCGGACAGCTCCCCGCTCAGTCCTCCTCCGCCGTTGACAACCTAGTAAAAACGCCACGTTTCCGCGCGGCTGTCGATGCCACAGCCGCGGGGCGAGGAGGCCTGTAAGCTCCACCGCAGTCCGAGCTCCAATCCGAGACGCAGCACTGCGGTTTGTCCGCTTTGGCCATGGCGCAGCGGAGGAGGCTCAGATGAAGGACGCCCTGCGCATCGGCTAAAAAGCTGGAGGAACTTTCCTACTGCTGAATTCCTCTGAACACAGATGTGACACTCCTTCTTTAGAACAGGAAAATTCTCGACTAGCTACAGAGACTAAACCGACCAGGCCCCACTGGAGGTCCCTAAACCTCCCTTTGGGCACCACCGGACAGAGGGGGCGGTGTAAACATTGGTAGGAGCAGCAGAAGCCATGGCAGACGCGGCGGAGTGCGGGGTGAGAGTGATGTGCCGCTTCAGGCCCCTGAACGAGGCCGAAATTACCCGAGGAGACAAATACATCCCCAAGTTCAAAGAGGACGACACCGTGGTCATAACGGCAAGTCTGCACACACTGCTGTCACCTCAATGCTGTTTACCTGTGTATGTGTGCGCGCCCAGTGATTTAAAGGAAAAGACACCTGCGGACCAGACACGAGTGCTGAGCCATACTGCAAATTTCGTTGTGATCGATATTACCGATACTTATATCGATACTGTTTTAACTTAAACATTTTGTACTATATGTACTATGGGCTATAAAAAAATAGAAATAAAAAAGGTTAAGACATTTTTCATAGCGCATATTTGAGGTCTTTTGGGTTTTTTTGTTTTGTTTTCACAAAAAATATGTATAAATAATTTAATATGAATCAGTAGGCTTCATACTGAACTTAGAAGATAGAAGCAACAGAGGAGCATCCTATTGCGCTAGTATCGATCTGGCGCCAATACTAGCGTTGGTATCGATACTGTCGATATATGGATCGATCCATCCACCTCTACCTAATGCCAAATACGCAGTAAGTCTTTGGTGGTACAGAGGAGCATTACAGCAGCTTGGAAATATTTACTTACTATAAAGACTGCCTCTTTACACCTGTATGATGTTACTTATGTTATTATAACTGATCAAAACTGTCTGATGCACTCATATGTAACATCTCAGTGGTTCTCAGTTGGATTCAGCTCTATGGGAAGTGCCTATACCCATCAGTAGGAATCCTAGGCCTACTGCACCAGTATTAGGCCTGATGTGGGTGCATGTGGGGGACTTTATGGCCCTCCTCTGCAGACAATCAAGGATATTTTTATTTGTTATACAGTCAGCAGAAATCACACACAAATAAATACATAGTGAGGTATTTAAAAGACCAGTGACAGCTGGGAGTCTACTGGTCCTACATGTTGATAGGCCTATACTGTATATATAGCCAGACGTAAGCCAGCATAGACACTGCCTCCTTCAAAAGCCACTTTATAATACAGCCTGCTGCTAAGTGTGTGATTCAGTATGTTATTAGAAATTATAGTATAATTTTATTTACAGACCAATATTTAAAGGTAGGCACATTAGAATACATGTGTATCAAATCAGGTTTTTACAGGAACAACTAAGTAAATTTAGTACTATGTGAGTAATGTTAAGTTCTTTTAAATGCTGCGTAAGTAATTTTTGGTACTTTTAGGTAAATGTAATTTTCGCATCAGTCATTTTTACTTTTGAGTCTATTTAAGTACTGCATGAGTAATTTGTAAATGTAAGTACTTTTAAGTGAATGTAAGTACTGTGTAATGTAATATATAGTATAATATGCATGATATGGCCTGCCCCTCAAAAAGTACAGCATACTTATGATATAAGGTGGGCAAATATTGTTGGCATTTCTGTTAAATTGCCAGAGAATAACGCGGTAATTACAGAATAATTATCAACTTTAAGTATTTGTAGGTAAATGTAATTGCATAATAATTATAAATAAAATACACTGAAATCCCATTTAATTACAGAACAATTACTTCATTAGTGGCAGGGTGAATTAGTGTCACAACCTAACCTCATGCAGGTGATGAAGGTCACTGACCCACTGCCAAACCGGTCCTGCTGCATGGTGTTGCAGGCATCTCCACGTCTGTCGCACGTGCTCAGTATGAGTCTGCTCTCATTTCTAAAGGTCTCACAGGTGGACCTGCTCGTTCATTGGAGCTGCACGACGCTGGGCTGTGAGCACACGTCCCACTACAGGATGTCAGGGCCTCGCGCTACCCTCACAGAGTCTGTTTCCGACAGTTTGTGGTTGAAACACGTAGTCGAGGAGCAAGGTGGGGGTCATTTCGTAGGGCTCTGGCAGCGCTCCCCTTGCTTCTTCAGCACTGTCCGTCTGACCTCCACACTCTGGAGACTGGTTCAAAAACTCTTCGGTGGAGGAGTTGGACAACCTGTGCAACCTGGGGTGAATCGGTCTCTCCATTGCACCTGCTGTCACTGCTGAAATGGACCCACACTGGTTTCTGCTTCCTAAAAAGGCACAGTGGTATCCCTGGAGTTTAACTGACTGCGAGTCATGCTGTGATGATCATGTGTTCCCTCAATATTTTTGAACAGTTCAGATCTCTTATTAAAAGGATCCGACCTCAATCACCTGATGCTCTGACGTTTCAGAAACGCCCGCGTTTATTTTGTACAGGACCTCTGAAAACATGTTCTTTTTATTCTTAGTGAGCCTGTACCTCATGGTACCTCATTCTTATGTATTTGTACATAAATGGATAGTTTTTCTTTTTACATCAGATTTGTGCTTTCTCTGTGACCCTACCATCTTAAAGAAAAAGGTGAATTTTTCTGTAAAGTCTGCTGCAGAGAGAGGGTGACTGAAGACGAAGATGTGTCACCTCCATCAGCAGCCCTCCGTTATCCGTGCAGTTGCTTTAATCGCCCAGCAACACTTTCTCCTCTGTCAGGACAAACTTGCGCACCGCCGCCTCGTGCCATCAATCAGCAGAGCAGAAGCACATTACCGACAAACACACCCGGATACTGTCTGTGTCAGGGGTTTCTCTGCTGTATTTTGGGGGCTCGGAGTGCTGCTGCCGCTGCCTCCAAGTGCTGAGGGTGGCGTTTTTGCAGCGGGAATGAGGCTTTTCCCCTTAGAGCAGGAGTCAGGAGCTGGATGAATGATGGATGGCAGTTACTGGAGCATTTTGAAGAAATGGTAGAGATTTCTGGCCCAGCTTCACCCATTTTCGAGCTGCACCGATAAAGAGAGAGAGGAAAACTGATAGGTTAAAGCTCTGAATCCAAAATCCAAAGCAACCAATCACGCATGTCCACAGAAACATCCTCTAATGAGGCAGCTACAAGTACCATCTTTTTTTGTCCATAAACTGGAGAAGTTCAGTTTCTTTGTCCTTTGCAGCAGGTATAGAATTAACTCCATCAGCATTTTGATTGGAGTATATGCTTATATATATGTATAAGTATATAAATGAGAGGAAGACTCAGGGAGGAACAGCTGGGGAAACACTGTGGAAGCTTATTGACAGAAACACGAGATCCAAAAGTGAAAAATCACCACTCGATTCAAAGACGTGATGCAGGAAATAAAGGCTACGGTAAAGAAAGCATAGAACACAGGAACCCAGAAATCTAACGACACCAGGAACGACAATAAAACCTCAAAAGAAGCCCAAACTCATTCACTCAACAGACACTTTATTAGGTACACCTTCCTCGTTTCTCCTTAAGAGCTGCTTTAATTCTTCATGGCACAGATTCAACATGTTGTTGGAAACATCGTGCAAAAGTGTGCCAAGAAAATATCCGCCCACACCATTACGCCACCATCGGCGGTGTGAAGCGCTGATACAATGGCAGGTTGGATCCATGCTTTCAGAGTGTCACCCTACCATCTGAATGCTGCAGCAGAAATTGAGACTCATCAGAGACTCTTAAATATTTGAGCTAACGAGCAGTTAAACGAGTGTACCTGATGAAGTGACTGGTGGGTCACAAAGAATTCAAAATAAAGCAAAACAAGTCGGCGGTCTTTGTATCCATGTTTGCATCCTTTTCCCAGAGTGTTTGAATCTTCGTGCCAAACCCCCTTATCTGGTTATTTCTAACAGTATATCTGCATTATTGATACAGTTTGGTGAATCATGTTTTAAATATCACGGGCGACTGGGAACAGCTGTGTTCGGTGCTGCGATGACTCTGAAGCCTGTCGCTGTGTGTTTTTGTCTTTGTCATTGTGAATCAGGGCAAACCGTACGTGTTCGACCGCGTGCTGCCTCCCAACACGACGCAGGAGCAAGTGTACGACCAGTGTGCCAAGCAGATAGTGAAAGGTAAGAAGCTTTAAACTGAGGAAGCATAGCTCTTTATGTAACCGTCATCTATCGAACATCTGCACACAAACTTAATCTGCTCTTCATCCTTTTTCATTGTTGCTTTACATAATGGAGCCATGGAAATGAGTGTTACCCGAAGCAGCAGGGCTGATGCTGGAGTTTTGGGGGGCTGACATTCATTTTTAGGCAGTAAAACTACATCATTACTATTAGATATTGTATGCATATGTACATGTAATATGTTAGAGTTGTATTCATAGGCCAGCTATTTAAAAATGTCTCCTCCCACCAGGGTTTATATGTTCCAGCTGTATGCCACGAATCCATGAATTTTCTTCTTCCATTCCTGCCTGGCAGCTCCATCTTTAACATCCTTCGTCTATCATATGGGTTGTCCCTCTTCTGCACATGCTCAAACCTTCACTTACCTCTCTAACTTTGTCTCCAAACCCTGAGCTGTCCCCCTGATCATTTCTAATCCTGTCCATCCTGATCACGCCACACCTCCTATACACTGAAGGTAAAAGCACTTCTGCACAGGACACACCTGTGCGTCCTTCTCTTCCAGCCTCCTCTCTCCTCTAGATGCATTTTAGGAGTTGAAATGTCCTTTAACCCAGCGTACAGTTACTGGTTTCTAGTATAACCTCTGAAAAATCTCTGCAGGTAGCATCAGTAGATGGATGCGCTAGTGTTTATAACTGTGAAGGTTTAGTGCTCATTTACCGGAGAAGCGGGCTGGACTGTGTCTGACTGTGTCTGACTGTGTTGTTGCACCCTTGTGTCTTTGTGCTACTCCAGATGTGCTGGGCGGCTACAATGGGACCATCTTCGCCTACGGGCAGACGTCCTCCGGGAAGACCCACACCATGGAGGTAAGACGCTCATTAGATCATGTGTGCTCTTAAACCCTAGTGACCAGATGTCAGCTGCAGAGGGGTTTCATTCCTTTGAAGTTACAGCTTTTTTACATAAAGGTGACTAAAGACTATCAAAGTGACAGCAAATACTCTCTAAAGCCCTTTGTGTAAAGACGTGCGGTGACTTTTATTTGGAACTTTCAAACAGTTGGCGGATTAGAGCACAGCGGGCGTTGTGTAACAGGCTTACTGCCAACAGGAAACCCACTCAGGCTCGTGCGAGGGGTAGGATTCAAGGAATCAAAAGCTAGTAAGGTTAACATCTTGGAAAAGCCTTTAATCATCACGTCCAACTCAGCGTGTGTTTTAAAGGAGTGAAATTGAATGAGTAGAAAATGGTCAGAGGAGCTCTTCGTCATTTCGACATGTCACCAGTGTAACTTCAGCTCGGAGTCTAATCCTCAAGCCTGGTTTTAATTCTCTGATCTGATCTCTGCTTCACCCTCTTTAAGTCAAACTTTTAAGTCCACTTCTGAACCCAGATGTTCTTTTTTAAATTTCTTCATTTAAAAAGGCTTTAAAATTGGGCTTTGCAGCCCCAGGACCTGGGTACCTTGCAGCCATTGAGTCGACCATGAATTCGTCTCGATACCAAAATATTCTAGAGTAAAATGTAAACTGTCCTGCTACGTGAAACCTTAGAACTGACAGAGGATGCACTTTCTTTGCAACGCGCCTGTTCAGCTAATAACAATGAAAATCAGTTTAAATCATATAGCACAAGGTCATGACAACAGTCAACTCAACATGCTTTATATCGCAACATCCTCTGTGAGCAAGCAGTTGGGGACTGTGGGTAAAAATAACCCGCTGTTTATAACAGGAAGAAACACGGCAACATGCTGGAGCTGTTTGGGGAGTTAAGAGGAAAGAGAAACGAGAACGAGAAAATAGTCACCATTTGTTGGTCACCAGCGGACGTTTCAGGCTCCGGTTGCCTAGGAAACCCTCTAATGTATTTACCACCCTCAACATATGGCAGCATTAAAGAGCCATGTTACACACATGAAAAAGACTGACCCTCTACAGTTTGCATACCGCCACAACAGGTCCACTGATGATGCCATAGCCCTGACACTACACACTGCCCTGTCACACCTGGAGAAGAGAGACACGTATGTGAGAATGCTGTTTGTAGATTACAGCTCAGCATTCAATACCATCGTTCCCTCAAAGCTGGACAGGAAACTGCAGGATCTAGGACTGAGCAGCTCCCTCTGCAGCTGGATCCTTAGCTTCCTGTCTGACAGACGCCAAGTGGTCAGACTGGGCAGCATCACCTCATCCCCCGTCACACTGAACACTGGTGCTCCACAGGGGTGTGTACTGAGCCCTCTCCTGTACTCACTCTACACCTACGACTGCACAGCCACTAACAGCTCCAACATCATTGTGAAGTTTGCGGACGACACTACAGTGGTGGGTCTTATCACCAACGGTGATGAGACAACTTACAGGGAGGAGGTCAGCGCCCTGACCCACTGGTGTCAAGACAACCATCTCACCCTCAACGTCGCAAAGACAAAGGAGTTGATAGTGGACTTCCGGAGGTGCAGAGAAGTACACACCCCCATCACCATCAGCGGCGCTGCTGTGGAGAGAGTGAGCAGCTTCCGGTTCCTTGGCGTACACCTGGCTGAGGATCTTACGTGGTCAGTACACACAAACAAAACAGTGAAGAAGGCGCAGCAGCGCCTCTTCTTTCTCAGGAGACTGAAAAGAGTCGGCATGAGCCCCCGCATCCTCAGGACCTTCTATCACTGTGCCATTGAGAGCATCCTCACTGGATGCATCACCACCTGGTATGGCAACAGCACCGCCTACAACTGCAAAGCTCTCCAGCGAGTAGTGCGGTGCTCTGAACGGATAATTGGAGGTGAGCTTCCCTCCCTCCAAGACATCTACAGGAAGCGGTGCCTGAGGAAAGCGGGGCGGATCATCAAGGACTCCAGTCACCCCAGCCATAAACTGTTCAGACTGCTTCCATCAGGAAGGAGGTTCTGCAGCATCCGGTCCCGTACCAGCAGACTGAGAGACAGCTTTTTCCATCAGGCCATCAGACTGCTGAACACGTCATAGACACCTCAGCTTCACTACTGGAACTTCAACATTATGCACTCCACACTGTATATAAATGCCACTTGTTTTGCACATATTCAACTCTGTATATTTTATATATTTTATTTATTGTTTACTCTATTTAATTTGTAAAATATGTGTACACACACACACACACACACACACACACACACACACACACACACACGTAGAAAAATATTTAGTATACAAATCCAGAAATGCATACACTATTATATATTGTACATATATTTATTAGTTTCAGATGTAGCCATTCTTGTATTTTGCTTGTTTACATTATTGTATTTTGCACATCTCTGTTGCTTGTGAAGCTCGAACACAAGAATTTCACTCACATGTGCTGTACCAATGTACCTGCACATGTGATGTGACAATAAAAGTGATTTGATTTGATTTGACTGCAAAAACTGCATCGCTGTAGTATAACACATGACTGTTGTTGTGTTCAGGGCAAACTGCATGACCCGCAGCTGATGGGAATCATCCCTCGCATCGCCCGCGACATCTTCGACCACATCTACTCGATGGACGAGAACCTCGAGTTCCACATCAAGGTGAGAACAGGAGTCATTCACAGTTTACCTCCTGAAAAATGAACTAAATGTCAGGTGTGAGCCGCTGCACTGGAGACCTGCAGCCTGTGGCCGTCTCTGAGATGTTTGTTAACAAAGTCTGTGAAAGGAAAAGCACACACAACCCAAAAATGTTTTATGTGAAATAAAAGGTAAATGATTGAGTTTACGGTGCAGTAAAGACCTTAAATCTGACAAAGTGAGGAAGATGAATTCATGTTCAGGGCAATGAATTAAAAGTTTTTAGATTTGTGAGACAGATGCGTTTCTCTATGCAGGTCTCTTATTTTGAAATCTACTTGGACAAGATCCGAGACCTGCTGGATGGTAAGAGAGGCTGTTTATCTGAAGCACTCAGCAGTCTGTTTTTCTTAAACTGTGACTTTTGTGATCTTTTTTCTGTCTGAAGTGTCAAAGACGAACCTCTCCGTCCACGAAGACAAGAACAGAGTGCCCTATGTGAAGGTTTGTGAGCTGAGCGAGAGCTGTGACACAGTCATGTGAAGAGGTTTATATATTTAATCTCCCCGTGTGCCTGAGCTGGAGCTTCAACTCAGCGAATGTTTAATTTTAGATGAACGAATGATTCAGTTACCGTTTTAGTCGTGTGTGCAGGTTTAGTACACCTAAAAACCTTAAAACTGCGATTTTTCGGTCTTTTCTTTATCCTGTAATCGATGCTCATGTCCACACTGGCTGCTGCAGGTCATGATTCTCCTTTTCAGGGCTGCACTGAGCGTTTTGTGTCCAGTCCAGAGGAGGTGATGGACGTCATCGATGAGGGCAAATCCAATCGGCATGTAGCAGTGACCAGTACGTATTTTTATATGTCTGCTTCAAAAGCGGCACATTTTTAAAAGGTTTCCTGGTATTCATTTCTACACTCACTGACCACTTTATTAGATACACCTTGCCTGTATCATGTTGGGACCTTCTGTTGCCTTCAGAGCTGTCGTGAATCGTCATAGATTCGACAAGTTGCTGAGACATTCCTCAGATTTTGGTTCACACTGTAGAGCAGCTGGTCTATCCACACAGACTCTCTGTGGTGGAGCTGTACAGCATCAGCAGCTGCTTCACCTCCAGTTTGTTCCTCCCGAGAAACTCTACAGGAGGTGGAGTCACTGTTGGGCCTTCCTCAGCACTGTAACTGTGTCTTCTGACCAGGAGAGGTCCACAGTGATATAAGGCCCCATAATTTGAAAGAGGAAACCATCGCCATGCAGTCACCTTTAATATTGAGGAGGGTAGGGGCAATTTCTCCCTGAAGTCGATGATGACCTTCTTCCTTTGTGTTGATGGACGCGTTGGCTCTGCTCATCCCTGCAGGCTGAGGTGGTGGGAGGAGGTGGCGCTTAAAGTCAACAGGTTCTGTGTTTATGGAAGTTAGGCGAGGGGCAGCCAATCTGCTTCGTTAGAAGCTGGGAATTGTTCAAAACTATTTGTATGGAGTCCCAGAATAAACACAAAAGGTCCTTTAACCTCTTAATATCCATCAAGTTAGCGGCAAAGCCCTAAAAGTCAGGATTTTAGCACAGCTCCTGAAACTTCTTAAGGAGGCAGAAACACCTCAATATCTAGATTTAAATGTTTTAATTTCACCTGAAATCTTAAAAGAAGATAAAAAGCCTTTTCTGGTTTCTTTTCTGCGGTTGTAATGATTTTTTTGCTTAATTTTGTAGACATGAACGAGCACAGCTCTCGCAGCCACAGCATCTTCCTCATCAACATAAAGCAGGAAAACGTAGAGACGGAGAAGAAGCTGTCTGGGAAGCTCTACCTGGTCGACCTGGCTGGCAGCGAGAAGGTTGGTCCAAGCGAGATCAGAAACGTGTCGTTAGGGTTTGCTTCAAGACTTTCCTGAGCTGTAAAGCTGATTGATAACCTGTTCGATCGCTGTTTGGTCAGGTGAGCAAGACGGGAGCTGAGGGGGCGGTGCTGGACGAGGCAAAGAACATCAACAAATCTCTCTCAGCGCTGGGAAACGTCATCTCAGCTCTGGCTGAGGGCACCGTAAGTCCATCCCACTTCTGTTTCGTATGTAAGTGAAGAAGTATGAAATATTAGAAAACCTCAGCACAGCTGTATTTTCTTTTCTTCAGAAAACCCACGTGCCGTACAGAGACAGTAAGATGACTCGGATCCTGCAGGACTCTTTGGGAGGGAACTGTCGCACCACCATCATCATCTGCTGCTCACCGTCCATCTACAACGAGGCCGAGACCAAGTCCACGCTCATGTTTGGACAGAGGTATCTGCGAGCTCTTATGTCTAATGTACTCAGTGCCAAAACAGGGCAATGTTTTTTACTTTCTTTTTTCCATTTTTTCCATAATTAATGCATAAAAAAAACAACAGAAATTTTAAAAAGGAGTCTTTCATCCTTTAAACAGCTAAGATTTTACGTACCACCATATACAGTTTCATCTGAAGTAACCACAACCACCTCATATTTTTAACAGAGGAAGAGAAACACAAAAAAAGTTTCCTCCTTCATAGCTATGTTCATCAAGGACCTCCAACTACCCTGCCCCTTCCCTGGTACTGCTCCCCGAACCCACTGCACCTCTACTCCTATGCAGTGGAACCACATCCGCCACATACTTTCAGATACATTTTGTCCCACTTCTTCTTTTGTCCAGTTTCCTCTAATTTTTTATGGCCACACTGCACACACTGCTCATATATGTCAAGTTTTTAGCTAATAGCTCTCTGGGAATCACCTTGTTGATCCAAAAATACTAGTTTATGCCTGTCAGACTGTGTTATCTTTGGTATTTTTCACAGATTCAACCAAAGAAATTGGAGCAAATTATGATTAGACTGAGGCTACGTCCACACGTACACGGGTATTTTTGAAAACGGAGATTTTCAGTTTTTGTTTAAAAAAAAAAAATCCCGTCCACACATAAACGCAAAAACGAAGGAAAACGCTGCTAGGAACGTGCCAAAGCAACAGGTGGCGATATATTCCTAACTGTGTAGAAATGTTGGCCAATCAGAAGTCTAGAAGCCTGGGTGCGAAAGAGTAGACAAAGATGGCTGAGTACTATGTGTGGAGGGACAGAAACTGTGTGTGTATATGTAAGCATGTAAACACTACAGAGAGTACAATTAACAGTATTTTGTCTAAGTACGCCATTGTAGAAATTCATTTCACCGAAACAATAACGTGGCGCACAGTGTGACGTCAAAAAACCTTTGACCTGCGTTTTCTCTGTTTTCCTCATCCGCACCTAAATGCAAAAACTGAGTTTTTGAAAATCTCCACCCTGGCAGGAAAATCTCAGTTTTCAGTGACCAAAAACGGCGTTTACGTGTGGACGAAAGGTGCAAACGCATAGAAAAATCTGCGTTTTCAAAAATACCCGGGTACATGTGGATGTAGCCTGAAAATTAGTTTAAAAAACAGCCAAAGACATTCAGAAAGCCTGGAGAACTGTTGCTCGAGACCACCTTAAAAATGACAAGAAAGTCTGACTCAGGTTATATAAACCTTTCCTCACATACAGCTGTTACGAAGCAGGAAACTGGATCCTCAAATAGCTACAAGACAAATTTTTTGCACTTCTGCAAACGAAAAACGTAACAATTACAAAAGAAAAAGCTAAAGTCAGTTTTGAATCAAACACAGAGTTGCTGTTTGTGTTTGTGGGAGAGTATCAGTGTATCCAGTCCATCTGCGAAGGTACACGGTGACTCATTTGGTGCAAACTAGCAAACAGATGGCTCTGAGATTCCCGCTGTGCATCTGGGTTTATTCTTATTTATAGACTCCGACACTGCCGCCTTCTTGTTTTCACGTCATGTAAAACTGAGAATAATGAACATTTTCTATTTTCTACACAGTTTTTTCCTCACACTTCATTCTGAAGCACATTTCATTCATCTGCTTCACTTCTTTAGATGTTACAGTTTCATAAAAGTGACGCGTCTGTAAAGATCCTCGACAGCAGCGATGTAATCATTTATTTTAAAAATCAAGCTGAAATCCACTGAGCCTTGATCAGTGAGTTCAGACTGAGCAGTGTCACAGAGGCTGATCACTGTGCAACCATCTGCCCTCGGCTAAGAGGAAATTCAATTAATTAGGAGATTTCCATCATGAGAGGAAAGATCGAGAGGGGCGGAGGTCCTCTGGGAGAAAGCAGACTCACACATGTAGCATGTGGAAGTGACTGTATTAGGTGGAAAGGTAGAAAACACACTCAGAAACAGCTGTAAAATGTGTTGCTTTATTTCCACTAAGACAGCAAAAACATGCTTACCTGCAGGGAAAAGGGAAAAAAGGCGTAAACTCTTGGATGCTCCGACTACTTTCATCTGATCATGCTGAATGTTGCAAACTTGCATGGTCAGATGATCAAATTCCTGCCTGTGTGGGGTTTTTTTGTAAGCTCTTGTTTTCAGCAGATGATTTTTAAAGAAGTAGAAACTAAGTAGTGGAAAATAAACCTGAAAATGTTGTTTTTAATCATTGTAATCAGGGGTTAACTTGACATTTGGTGGGCAGGGGAAGACTGAGATCCTGTGTAGCTGTGCAGCAGGAATAATCACAAATAAGTCACCAGATTATTAGTTTTCTTTGATTTAAGCTGCTGAATCAAACACACTTTAATAGATGTTACATGAATGTGGAACATAAAGGTGGAATTTGATGCCTAAAACTTAATCCCAATCTAACCCCTGTCCATTACTGTAAGATGAACCACACTTAAAGTTCAGCTCAGTATTTTGATTCGATTACTATATTAACTCAATGAGCTGGAACAAACTGTCAATAGAGTCCAGAGAAGAAGTCTAACAATCAGGCACGATGAGATTAATTAAAAGACTAATGCTTACTGTCTGTGTCCGCTCAGAGCGAAGACCATCAAGAACACAGTGTCTGTGAACCTGGAGCTGACGGCCGAGGAGTGGAAGAAGAAATACGAGAAGGAGAAGGAGAAGAACAAGAACCTGAAGAGCATCATCCAGAGGCTGGAGGCTGAACTCAACCGCTGGAGAAACGGTGAGATTAAAGCGGCCTGCAAGGGCTGATTAAAGGAAACAGCTGCTGTGAGCTCCTGAGTGTTGATCGGTGGTTACGCAGTGGGATGTTGGGTTTTTGTGACAAACATACATTGTTGTTGTATCGTACAGCTCCACAGTAAGTTATGAATAGTTAACGTGCTGCCTTTCTGCTTCCTGTGCACTCATTTCTATACCTTTAAATAAATGATATTTCAAAGGGAACCCACCTTCTGTTGCACAGTTGCTGCTTGGTGGGACTTATTACAGAGTCCTGATTAACAGACCTCAGCCTGAGATGTTTACCAAGCTAATAAAGAGGCCCTAGTTTTACAGCAACTGCTTTGTGAACGTGTGATGGGAAGGTGGACGAAGGGTGGGATGGACAGTCGTGGTGAAGACAGAGCCAAGAGAGAGTTTTTGATTTAGCAGGCGAGTGATCCACGGTCCAGCCCTCACCGATGGCCATGAGCTCTGGGTAGTGACTAAAAGAACAGGGTTGTGGGTACAAGCTGGACTCCCCAGAGGTAGTTTGGTGGCCTCCTCGACGCCTCTCTTTGGAGTTCTTCTGGGCACGTCGACCCTTCAAGAACTCCAGAGGAGGTACGGAGAACAGAAGAAGAAGCTCCTCTGCCTTGCCTCCTTAGTGTTAGAGATCCAGCAAGGTTACGTTCTCGTGCTGACGCTGTTCGGCATCTCCTTCCCTACGCCCCTGAACTATCCTTTAGGTGCCATGATTTCGTATCACAGCGGGACCTCCAAAGCCTGATAGATTGGTTTACCCAGACCTGTAAGGACTTTGGGCAGACTTTAAAATTAAAGGCTGAACTTGCACCAGGCAGGAAAAAAGTGCTCAACACGTTCTATTTGAGACGTCTCAACATGAGAAACAACCACAATAAGGGGATATCAGAGCACCCCATCCAACTGGTGGAGACGTACCACCTGGGAAGAGACCCTCGATAGACCCAGAAGTCACTGGAGTTATTAAATATTTCATCTAGTGTTGATGAGGAAAGGACGTCTGGAAAGACCTGCGCAATCTGCGACCTGACTCTGGATAAATGGAGGGAAATGGATGGATGTTTTGTAATGACTCACAACACAGAAAGCAATCAAAGTGGAACATCATCAGCAGCCTCCTTTCCTTACATCTTAACATGTGAATACCTAGCAGAGCGTGGCTACTCGTTCACCACTCGTCTGCTTATTTCTCTGTGCACCGAGGTCTGAAGGACCTGAGGAGTGGTGACGCTATTTTCCTGAGATTGGATTGGTCTGTAGGAGCTGTTGCTCTCCAATCTGGAGCATCATCAGCTTCAAAAAGTTGAAAAGCTTTGACACTTTATCACCCGAGTATCTTACAGACTGTCTGGACTTTTTGTCATATTTGGCTGTAAAATTACAAAATAATTCTCATCTTACATGAACCATTTAAATTTCCGCTGTAGCTCAAACTGTGAAATGCACATAGTAAAATCTAGGAGTTGCTGATTTTTCTGTGTTCAGACGTTGTGAATGCTTTGCTATACAGTGATACGCCGAATATTCCAGTAAAACTCGCCTTCTCTTTTTTCTAAAACCGTTTGAACGTTCATTTAAAATGAGTTTTATTTATACAGCGACGAATCACAACAACAGTTCCCTTAAGGTACTTTATATTCTGTAAGATGAAGACCCTAAAATAATACAGAGAAAACCTCAGCAGTCAGACGACACCCACCCTGTGAGTAAGCATTTGGTGACAGTGAGAAGGAAAAACCCCTATTAAAGCTATCAGAGATTAAAATGAATTGCTGATGATTAAATAGTGCAGTAGTGGTGTGTACTAGTAGCTGCTACTTTGTTTTTAGGAGACTTTGACCTTTGACCTTTGAGAGTCAGATGCTCTCTGTGACACACACACACAGAAAATGTTTTTTTCTCCATGCATGCCAACAAGCAGAAATTTAAAAAAAGTGGGCGGCGGCCTGAGAAACTCGAGTGTCATTAACCGCACAGGCTCTTTTAGGTAGCTGTGTGTGCACATGCTCAGTCTGTGACGTCTGGAAATCACATGTAATTACTGCTCAGATTAATCTGCCGCTGTGATAATGTGTGGGGTCTGATCGGCTCACGCCTTGTCCTGCCCGAATGCTGTAGATTCTGCATAACCCCACCATGAAGGACGCCATGCTGCCTGTGTGTGTTTCCCCACCACACTTCCTCCCTCTCTGCTGAGACTGCAGGGTCTCCTTCACAGCATCCTCGCCCTTTTTCCCCCATTTCTGTTGCATAGTAACCACTCCTCCTCCTCCTCTCAGTCCTTTCTTTGCTTTAATGCCTCCCCGCCTTCACCCCCCTCCTCCCCCTTTCTTTCTGTGGCCATTGTTGCATTTTAATGTTTAATTCCCCTGTGGATGCTGATAACACTCCCCCTCCTTAGCATCAAATCAGCTCAGCTGCAGAAGCCAAAGCTCCTGACATGTAAATGCAGCGCTCTCACACACACATACACACACATCATGTTGATACAGTGTTTGTGGTTTGAGTCAGCCGCTGGCTTCCTGCCCTGCCGTTTAAAAGGAAGCAGCTCTCCGCCTCCTTCAGTCTGTCCTCGGCTCCATCTCCTCATTAGCTGCTGGCTTTTATCACCAAACCCACAGTTAGAAAATCAATAATCACACAAACACTGGTGAAGTCAGCATGATTTCACTCAGTCAGTATAACTGATGCAGTTTTCTCCTGAAGGAAAATCATCAGAATTGTAAAAATAGTAATAATAATAGTAAGTTGTGTGCTGGCTTACAAACGTAGCCAGCCCCCAAACCTGATGTTTCAGGAAATGCATCAGGTTTATTTTAATTATCTGATAATAACTTATCTAATTTACTTTGATAAACTACAGTATCCTGGTGTTATCTTGACTGCAAGGCAACAATTGTTCCTTTTATGTTAAAGGACTGCTGCCAGGATTTACTACCCTACACGCACGTTGCAGATGATTAATTTGGTTTTGTGCATTACAGTAAAACGTCTCCACTTTAGTCTCTAACGTCCAAAAGAATTTGTGGTTTGTTCAGATGCATCTTTGCAGACCCTAAGCTATGCTGCTGTGTTCTTTTCAGAGAGGTGAACCCTTCTTCCCACTTCATTTATGAAGCCTGCTTGAGCATCAACATCTGGTTTGTTACTTCAAAATGCGTAAACTGAGGCTTAGTTATTGCACTTATTACAGTATTTACACTTTTATCGTGATTTAAAAATTCTTCCACAAAATTAAGATTATATGATGCGACGCACTGAGGCATGATGTAACAACTATGGTGCTACTCGATGTGACACCATACCACAACATATGGCACGATCAGAGTGTTTAAAACGTCGTCACACTAACATGTGTGAATATAATGGATGCATGAGTAGAATATCTAACAAGTGAGTTCCTATCGCAGGGGAGAACGTTCCTGAGGAGGAGCAGCAGAGCTCTAAAGATCAGAGGAGCGGCGAGCCGTACGATAACACTCCCATCATCGACAACCTGCTGCCAGCCGGAGGAGGTGTCTCCGTCTCCGGTGACGAGAGGAGGAAGTACGAGGAGGACGTAAGGAACCTGTACAAACAGCTGGATGACAAGGTGAGCAACAGGACGAGGCTAAAGCTGGTTTATTGTAAACATGTCACATACAGCTATCTCAGGATGGGTTTTATTCATCTTCTGTCTGGAACAAAGTGTTCTAGCTCCTCCCCCTTCCTTCTGATTGGCTGCCCCTCATAAAAATAGATTTGAATGGCAGGTGGTTCACCATATATGTGAACCACCTGCCTATATATATATCATATAGCTGATATATACCTATATGATGAACCACAGAGCCAAGAGTGTTCGATCAGTCTGAAGCCTGAGCTTTGGGCTCACAGGGATTACATGTACACATACTGCCCTTGTTATTTAAACAATTCCTGAAACTCTGTATATTTTATTGCCGCTGACAGGATGACGAAATTAACCAACACAGTCAGCTGGCGGAGAAACTCAAGGAGCAGATGATGGATCAAGAAGAGGTTTGTCTCCCAGCTCAGGTTAATAGTAATGATAGAGCATGCCTGCGTATTTCCTCTGACACGTGTTTTTTTAAAAAAATCTGTGCAGCTGCTGGCGTCAACACGACGCGACTATGACAAGATCCAGGAGGAGCTGTGCCGGCTGCAGACGGAGAACGAGCTAGCCAAGGAGGAGGTGAAGGAGGTGCTTCAGGCCCTGGAGGAGCTGGCAGTTAACTACGACCAGAAGAGCCAAGAGGTGGAGGAGCGAAACCAAGCCAACGCGCAGCTTACCGAGAAGCTGCAGCACAAGACGGTGGGTCGTGACTTTCCTGAATACTACTTGATTACACATGAAGTGCAGCGATGCAGAGGCATGCTGACAGGCTGTCTTTGTGGCGGCATCCTCAGGCGCTGCTGTCGGTGCTTGAGAGGGAGGTGAGTCAGCTGCAGGAGCTAAACGGCCTGCAGAGAAAGCGTGCTGCCGAGGTCCTCAACCTTCTGCTGAGAGACCTCAGTGACATCGGTGCCATCATCGGCACCAGCGATGTCAAGACGGCTGCGGTGAGCACCCACGTCCACATGACAAAAACCTTACCAACCTTACCCGAAACAGACACATGACCCTTAAACCCAGCCCGTCCTCCTTCCCTCTCAGTGCTCAGAGATGAAGGGGAACGGCTCGGCGCTGGAGGAGGACTTTACCGTTGCTCGCCTCTACATCAGCAAGATGAAGTCCGAGGTCAAGTCTTTGGTCAACCGCAGCAAGCAGCTGGAGAGCGCCCAGGCCGACGCCCACCGCAAGATTCAGGCGAACGAGAAGGAGCTGGCGTCCTGTCAGCTGCTCATCTCCCAGGTAAGCGTCACCTGACGTCGTCATGCTAACAGAGTTCTCCTGGGGTTTGGTAGAGTGTCAGTCACGTGTTGCTGTCCCTGCAGCATCAGGCCAAGATAAAGTCTCTGACCGACTACATGCAGAACATGGAGCAGAAGAAAAGGCAGCTGGAGGAGAGCCAGGACGCTCTCACCGAAGAGCTCGCCAAACTGCACGCTCAAGGTCGGTCCTAGAAACCTCCACAGACTCTTAAAAACCAGACTCATTTATACAGTTAGGCAGTATGAGCACAGCTGACATGTCATCCCACCCCGAAAAAAAGAAAAGTTCAAAACAACAAAGACAAAGATGTTTCTAATGTATGAGACACCACTTTATCCTTTTAGTTGTTACTCATTCAATAACCATTATTTAATCAGTGTGTTTTTTAGGTTTTCTTTATACCTCAGTTACACACAAAGAAAGCACTGGAAGGTCTTTAATTTGAACTTTATCCATCACTGGAGTATCACATAGATTAGGACTTAACGACACTGTGTCTTACAACATGCAGGGTGCTCTGAGCACGAGTGGCCAGTATATTATGTCTGAGTATCACTACAGGGGCTAAAGTGGGATCTGGCAGGCGGGGGGACCTTGGGATCAGGTGCATCAGTGCTGTGTGGTGAAAATAATTACTCAATAATAATAATAATAATAATAATGATGATAATGATTATTATTTGCTGCTCTATCACTAGCTAGACACTGAAGTATCACAACTACGACTTCATTTGCATCTGCACCATGAACGCATCACATGAAGGTATAAGTGGGCCGTGGGATTTTATTATTTTATTATTACTGAGCAAATGTGTCCATGCAGTCAGTCTGCAGCACATAAGAAATAATTGCCAGTAATGTGCATTAAACTGCCATTCTGAACCTTTGAGGCCGTCTTTAACCCCTGCATCCACATTAGTCAAATTTCACATGTGTATTGTGTGTGCACTGTGTTCATGCGTTCCAAGCATCATTACACTTTCTTTGGTTTTTGCTTTTGTGGAAGAACACAGTCACCTTATGACATATCCAGGCGATGGATGTGATATAGTCTTGCACATCAGAGGTTTTTTTTTTTTACGATTAAGATGAATTTGACAAAAAGGGTGGGCTGAGTAACTACGCTATGAAGGTGAGGGTTTGTCTTTGGTTGTGTTTGAGTCTGTGAGTCTATGTTTTGACCCCCGGTGGGAAGTCTTTTGTCTTGATTTAAATTGTCTTTCAGTAAAATATCTCATAGTTTGAAGTTTGAGAGTTTAGCTTTGTGAGTAAATTTGCCTGCAGTTTCTGACACAGCACAATTATTCTGTCTTTAGAGAAAATGCACGAGGAAAAGGAGAAGGAGGACATCGGCAGAGCGGGCGGAGACGATGACATCAAGGTAAAAAAAATACAGCACAAAATTGATTTTGATTTTTACAAAATATTAAAATCTGGAACCTAACAGAGTTCAGCACAGTCTGAACTCTGTTAGGCAGCTTTCTTGTTGTTTCTTTAAGTCGTTTTCAGGAATAGTTCTCCAGGCTTCTTGAAGGACATTCAAAGCTCTTCTTTGGATGTTTCTGCCTTTTGTTCTGTTCTCTGTCAACATGATCCCACACTGCTTCAGTAATGTTGAGGTCCGGGCTCTGGGGAGGCCGATCCATGACTGATAGTGCTCCACTGTGTGTTTTTACTGCATTAACAATGTGTTTGAGATCATTGTCACGCTGAAAAATGAAGCTGTTGACAATCATATGCTTTCCAGATGATTTTGCATGGTGTATCAAAATCCGATGGTGCTTCTCTGTTTTCATAGTTGATAATTTTAACAAGGTCTCCACCACCACTGGCTGAAATGCAGCTGGAAAAATGCTTCTAAAGATGATCAGGTACAAGCACTGGACTGCAAATGAGTGAAAAAGCAGCCAATGTCCAAATAAAACCTTTGAAAGAGCTTCAGAAAGCCTGAGAACTATTGCTCAAAAACAATTGAAAAAAAAAGAAAATCTGGCGGCTTGGAAGTAAAGCGTAAAGACATGAGGGTTGATTCAAGACATTTGTTCATATTTGTTCATGTTGCAGGTCAGATTGAAGGCAGGAGATCCAGTAACTAGTAGTTAACTACTAGTAGTTAACTACTAGTTACTGATAACTAGCTAACTAGTAGCTGAGACACTTCCAAGTAGCCAGATTTAAAGTGTTAGACCTAATACAGTCTAACACAGTCCATGTCATAGGTTTATCCAGTATTTAAGTGCTCCAGACTGACCCAGAAAAACGAGCAGCTTCTAACAGGAAGCTCTTGTATTTTGGATCATGGATTTGGGATTATCATAGGGTTATTTTAGTGCGTCATGTTTCTGTTCAGTGTCCTCTGAGGGAATAATGTTGCCAACCTCAGCTCTAATGTGTTTTTATGTCTTCAGAAAACGCTGGAGGAGCAGCTGGAGAACCACAGGGAGGCTCATCAGAAGCAGCTCAGCCGCCTGCGGGATGAGATCGAAGACAAACAGAGGATGCTGGACGAGTTCAGAGAGTGAGAAAACATCAGCAAACGCACACACTGACGCACACAAACCAACTCTGAGGATGTAACAGCACAGCAGGGAGGAGACGATGGGAGATTAGGGGAGAGATATCACAGGGAAACCCACAGATGTGCTCAGGTTTGAAACCGTTCTACACAAATCCTGATCTTTTCAGACGAGCTCAGGCCATGAGCAGATACACACATATACCCATTTTAATATTCCCCTCAGCCCTCAGAGTAGGGATTTCCACTCAGGTTGTCTTCAAAGGGGGACTACTGAGGAGAAGAAGCAGCTCAGAGAACAAGTGCGAGCAAGGAGCTGCTGCCTGAAAGCGATCAAAGATCTGGGCTCAAAGTCGGCTTCTGCTTCAAAAGAAGAGTTAACATGACTAGAAAGTGACTTTCAAGGCCTCAACCTGCAACTTTAGAGCCTCCAACTAAACATGCTTCGATTCCAAACCACATTTTCTGAAACTAGAGAGCGTATTTATTAAAACAGTTTCTCCCTCTCAGTCTAAATCAGGGGCTGTTACTGGAGCAGGAGCGACTCATGTCGGATTACTACAAACTGCAGGCGGAGGAGCAGGAGAAGAATGCAAAGCTGGAGAGGCTCGTGTAGGTGAACACAAGCATCTTAGAGTTAATTTGAGACAATAAAAGTGTCACATGGTTTGATTATTGCTCTGTTTTCTGTACAGGCTGCTGAATGAACAAAGGGAGCAGGCCCGAGAGGACCTGAAGGGTCTGGAGGAGACTGTGGTGAGACTCAGTGATGGCCCCATAACTACTCTCACCTTTGAAGTCACAGCTGTTCTAACCTTAGATGTCTGTTTAGTCACATAGCAAAGCAAAGAAACTGCTGGAAGTCTGCACCAATGCAGGCTTACTCAAAAACAGTGCTTTGTAATATATTTAATGAGAATAGAGGCAAGTCAGAGGATTAAAGAAATGTTGTTAGTATAGTGCATCTCATTGATCCAGCTGTTCACAACTTCATCCCAAAGAGTCGTTCGGACATATTTCTTAAAAGTGCACTTCTTTTTCTTACATTTACATAAAAAGGGGAGTTTCAGTGATCGAGCCTCAAACGGCTGTGATTTGATGCTGTATAAATGGAACAGAATTTAATTGAATACCCTGAGTAGGGATGGGAAGCTGGATACTGGTGTTTCAACGCTGTGTTGAGCTTACGAAGCACTGATCTGAAGTGCCGTTCAAAACACCCACTTCACATGACCATGGCTTTTTCAGGTTTCACCCTAGGTTTGGCCGATGGTAGAATAAACCTGATGACATCTTTAATTCAGTTCAATTTAATTTAAGAGTATTTACATACAAATGAATTCAACTGAACTGAATTAAAAGGAAAAAACCAACAGTCTGATGATTCCCTATGAGCAAATACTTGGCGACAGTGGGGAGGAAGAACTCACTTTAAAAAGGAAGAACCCTCTGGCAAAATGTAAATCCCAGAACTATTATGTGGGTCTAACTTCCAGCTTTCACTCCCTTCTTGTTCACTCAGGCCAAAGAGCTGCAAACTCTGCACAACCTGCGCAAACTCTTCGTCCAGGACCTCACTGCACGGGTTAAGAAGGTAGATCTTTTTACTGTTGACACATACGACTGGTCGTTTAATGTAGTTTGGTGTAATTTTCCTCTATTATAAGAGTGCAGAGCTTGACTGTGAGGAGGGACTCAGCAACATTGCACAGAAACAGAAAATCTCATTCTTGGAGAACAATTTGGAGCAGCTGACTAAGGTCCACAAACAGGTACGGTTGCTATACAGAGGCTGAATCCATAAAAATATTATAAAACAGAAATGCTGAGCGCTGTGAGATACAGTGCGATAAAATAATGCTCAGTAACTTCATGCCGCCGCCCTCAGCTGGTCCGGGACAACGCAGACCTTCGCTGCGAACTGCCCAAGCTAGAGAAGCGTCTGCGAGCCACGGCCGAGCGAGTCAAAGCGCTGGAGAACGCCTTGAAGGAGGCCAAGGAGAACGCCATGAGGGACCGCAAGCGCTACCAGCAGGAGGTGGACCGCATCAAAGAGGCTGTGCGGGCCAAGAACATGGCCAGGAGGGGATACTCTGCACAGATCGGTGAGGTTTTACTTCCATTTATTATTTCACTGAAATAGATGTGCTCATGTGACAGCTGTCGGACAAAGAAGACCGGTTCACACAGGGGTGAAACCTGCCACCAGCACCGTAGCTGAACCTGGACACAAATACATTTCCGAATGAGTGATAGTGTTTCTAGATAACTTCTATATGTTTAAATAACCATCTTTACGCTAAAGAGTAGCAATTTAAATTGGTTTTGCTGAAAGCATGCTGATTGGCAGGATTGTTTCTGTGGCCTGGACACTGATGCTTTTGTTGCTGTGCTTTTAAAACACAGATTACAGCCATTTGTGTTGAGAACACTATTGCAAATAGATGCTTATCAGCACAATCTGACTCAAATATTTGCAAAATTTTCCAATTTGTCTGAGAGGGATTGTAGTCAGCCCAAGTCAAACTGCAATTTTAAACCTGTTTCATAGTACAGATTATACCCTGGTGACTGAGGTGGGGAAGAACTCCACTTTAACAGGAAGTGACTTCCAGGAGAACTATACTCAGGGAAGGGCAGTCAGGGATTCAATCCCTCTGAGAGTAGCTTTTGCAGTTGATATTTCAACCAGAAAAATTGAAATATCTGAGCTGGTTTAAACTTGAAACAAACAAAAAAATAAAACACTGGATAAAAAAAACAGACCTGAATATGGATCCCTGGGAGAAAGATAAATCAGCCAATGGATCAAGATGTTCTCTTTTTTGTGTTTTCAGCAAAGCCTATCCGGCCCGGACATCATCCACTGTCCTCCCCGATCTGCAGCTCCATCAGAGCCGGAGGTGTTGATATTCATAACAACTGAACCCACAACAGCAACATAATCCTGTGAGTGCAAAAATCTGTTTTCCATTTTACGAAATATAATTTCCTTTGCTTGTCTTACACATGGCTACCACCAGGGGGCGGTTAACAAATATATCACTTACACATAAACTGGATATAAGACAGTCTCAGAGATTTGCCTCTTGTTGCAGACGACCATAAACAACTCAGTGCATGCTCACCACCCCACCTGGATCCACAAGCAACGCCCCTCCTCTTGGAGCACCAATGGGAGGCCTTCACGACAGACTGTCATCGCTCGGAGAAGCACCATCCAAACATTGTGTAAATACTGATGAGACATATTTAATTTGCTGAATGTAGATCTCAGAGGCCTCGTTTATAACACATTCACTGTTATAAGTTTAGTTTTCTGGATCTTCTGATGGTAGATTGTCGTTATTATGCAACAGGGCAGCACGGTGGCACGGTGGTTAGCACTGTTGCCGCACAGCAAGAAGGTCCTGAGTTCAATTCCAACATCAGGCCGGGGTCTTTCTGTGTGGAGTTTGCATGTTCTCCCCGTGTTTGCGTGGGTTCTCTCCGGGTACTCCGGCTTCCTCCCACCGTCCAAAGACATGCAGCTTGTGGGGATAGGTTAATTGGATAATCCAAACTGTCACTAGGTGTGAATGTGCGAATGAATGTGAGTGCGAATGGTTGTCTGTCCCTGTGTGTTGGCCCTGCGACAGACTGGCGACCTGTCCAGGGTGTACCCCGCCTCTCGCCCTATGACAGCTGGGATAGGCTCCAGCGCCCCCCGCGACCCTGAAAAGGACAAGCGGAAGCGAATGGATGGATGGATGGATGGATTAAAAGCTCGAAGTTTATAAGTGAGGCCCTGTATTAGAAATGAAAATGAAGCTTAAGTTTTAGGTTTGCGCAGCTTTACAGGAGAAGGCAAACGTGTCCGTTTTTAGATAAGTATTGTTTAACGTTTTAGGAAACAACTTGCTTTTTTCCTTTTTTTCCTCAGTCGTCATGATGACAGAAGTGACACCACTCGAGTGTATCTGATCAATATGAAGCTACAGCCAACAGACGGTTAGCTTAGGTTAGCATAAAGACCAGGGAATGGCAATCACAGAGATCTTTGGTCCTGTACCCTATATACCTCTTTGCAAACAGCCACTTGTCATTAGGTTGGTGGAAATACACATTTTTCCCTTGTGATCCAGTGGTTGCCAGATGATTGCTGCCTGGTCTCTAGGCCTATGTGGCTGACGCTACAGCAGCATCCCTCCAAAATGGCAGTCACACCGAAGACAACAGTTTACTATGGATAAACGCCTCATCCCACTCCGTAGCCTAAATGGCGACCATTAGGTTGATAATTGCTCCGAGCTCTTTATGGACAGTGTAATCACTAAGTGTGTTAACTACAACTCATTGCAAAAAAATTTAACACGCATAATCAGCAAATTACGCCCCAGCTCATTTACATCAATGCCTGAAGATGATTTCTGCTGGTAGCCCTAACATGCATGCTACCTGCATATTTTGGAAAACATCTACAACTTATTTACAGATCCTGAATTGAAAATCTCATCCATATTTTTTAGAAGTATTTTAACTATGGACCAAAAAATTGTACCCACCAAAAACAGACTCACTACAAGCTACTAAACTGTAAAATGATGGCATGTGACATAAAACATTAATGTATTATTTATAATATAACGGAGAAGAACCACCAGGGGCGGTTAACAAATATATCACTTACACATAAACTGGATATAAGACAGTCTCAGAGATTTGCCTCTTGTTGCAGACGACCATAAACAACTCAGTGCATGCTCACCACCCCACCTGGATCCACAAGCAACGCCCCTCCTCTTGGAGCACCAATGGGAGGCCTTCACGACAGACTGTCATCGCTCGGAGAAGCACCATCCAAACATTGTGTAAATACTGATGAGACATATTTAATTTGCTGAATGTAGATCTCAGAGGCCTCGTTTATAACACATTCACTGTTATAAGTTTAGTTTTCTGGATCTTCTGATGGTAGATTGTCGTTATTATGCAACAGGGCAGCACGGTGGCACGGTGGTTAGCACTGTTGCCGCACAGCAAGAAGGTCCTGAGTTCAATTCCAACATCAGGCCGGGGTCTTTCTGTGTGGAGTTTGCATGTTCTCCCCGTGTTTGCGTGGGTTCTCTCCGGGTACTCCGGCTTCCTCCCACCGTCCAAAGACATGCAGCTTGTGGGGATAGGTTAATTGGATAATCCAAACTGTCACTAGGTGTGAATGTGCGAATGAATGTGAGTGCGAATGGTTGTCTGTCCCTGTGTGTTGGCCCTGCGACAGACTGGCGACCTGTCCAGGGTGTACCCGCCTCTCGCCCTATGACAGCTGGGATAGGCTCCAGCGCCCCCCGCGACCCTGAAAAGGACAAGCGGAAGCGAATGGATGTATGGATGGATGGATTAAAAGCTCGAAGTTTATAAGTGAGGCCCTGTATTAGAAATGAAAATGAAGCTTAAGTTTTAGGTTTGCGCAGCTTTACAGGAGAAGGCAAACGTGTCCGTTTTTAGATAAGTATTGTTTAACGTTTTAGGAAACAACTTGCTTTTTTCCTTTTTTCTCAGTCGTCATGATGACAGAAGTGACACCACTCGAGTGTATCTGATCAATATGAAGCTACAGCCAACAGACGGTTAGCTTAGGTTAGCATAAAGACCAGGGAATGGCAATCACAGAGATCTTTGGTCCTGTACCCTATATACCTCTTTGCAAACAGCCACTTGTCATTAGGTTGGTGGAAATACACATTTTTCCCTTGTGATCCAGTGGTTGCCAGATGATTGCTGCCTGGTCTCTAGGCCTATGTGGCTGACGCTACAGCAGCATCCCTCCAAAATGGCAGTCACACCGAAGACAACAGTTTACTATGGATAAACGCCTCATCCCACTCCGTAGCCTAAATGGCGACCATTAGGTTGATAATTGCTCCGAGCTCTTTATGGACAGTGTAATCACTAAGTGTGTTAACTACAACTCATTGCAAAAAAATTTAACACGCATAATCAGCAAATTACGCCCCAGCTCATTTACATCAATGCCTGAAGATGATTTCTGCTGGTAGCCCTAACATGCATGCTACCTGCATATTTTGGAAAACATCTACAACTTATTTACAGATCCTGAATTGAAAATCTCATCCATATTTTTTAGAAGTATTTTAACTATGGACCAAAAAATTGTACCCACCAAAAACAGACTCACTACAAGCTACTAAACTGTAAAATGATGGCATGTGACATAAAACATTAATGTATTATTTATAATATAACGGAGAAGAACTACTCTTCCCGCAATCCTTAACTGAAACAGCGGCATCTCTGATTGGTGGAAGTTAATAATAATAATAATAATGGATTGCATTTATATAGCGCTTTTCGGGGCCCTCAAAGTGCTTTACAAGTTGCTGTTGAATGACATTGACCTTGGAAATGTGTAAACCCACAAACATCAGAATGGACGAGTTGCAGTCAGGAACATAGCACCATGCCACATCGATAACTTGGCTACACTTGACCACTCACGCACAATACAAACTACAAACACTAAATTCTAGAAGGCTGGAAGTCGGTTGCTATGGAATCTAGGATTTGATTGTATTATTGGATGAGTAGTTCTTTCACTGTTAAAAGTCATTATGTACACCGCAGTGGATTATCTACTAATTGGAAGGTCAGTGGTTCAACTCCCGGCTTGTCTTGTGTTCGTGTTAAAGTGTCTTTGGGCAAGAAACAGAACACTGAGTGGCCCCCAGTGCATCCATGAGGGAGAATGCTAGGTTAAAAGCACTTAGATGCAGTGAGTGGAATATTTATTTCTGGAAACAGAACTTAAAATAAAAATGGCTGTTTCACCATTTTAACCTAAGCTAACTGCCTGCAGGATGTAGCTTCATGCTTACTTTTATGGATGTGATTTGTTTCAAAGCAGGGCCTTTAAGTTTCTAACCTCGGTGATGTTGAAGGTTGTTGCTGGAGCTGGGCAGCAGAAACATGCTTCCACACAACTGTCTTTGCATGTGTCTTGTCTTCCAGATTTTATAACTTTTGTGTTTACACTTTTGTTTGATTACAGGTGACAATCAATAAAAAGAAACCCTTTGATTTGGTTTTAGAAAACATGCTCTGGGCTTCAAAAAGATTTTTCTTTTTTTGTCGTTTTGCAAAGAGGGATCTCATACAATTAAATTGCGCTGCTGTAGCTCTTGAGGAACACTGACCAGCCAATCAGTTGCTCCTAGGACTATGAGCCTGGTTTATAACTCTGGTTTAAAGCTGATTTAAATTTTTTCTCCCCACACAATTTCAGTGTCTGGATTGTTGTAATAGTCTGCACTCAATCTGTAAAGTTTCTGATTGGCCAGTCAGAGTCTTTAAAAACAGATTCAAAGGCAGAAAAAAGGTTTTTCCCCTCAGGCCAAAGTAATTAAAATCTCAGTGGATAAGCTGGATAAGTTTTTGCCTTTAGAAAACTGAAATCATCAAAACAGCACTCCAGCTTTAGAAATGAACACATTTCTCTACATTGACTTGTGACTTTGTAACTTTCTTTTTTAACGTCAAGACTGTAATTTAACGAGGCCTCTTGACCCTTTAGTGGTACATTAGACGTTTGTGCTGCTTTCCTTTATGGTGCCTGTTTAACATATTTTTATGTACATTATTGTCTCAGTGTAAAAGGCCCAATTACAGTTGTTCTTTGGTTATAGTCTACCATTTTAGTTTCTTTTAGGTATCAAAGAGTAGCAGTCATCAAGCTCGAGGACGATACCCTACAGTCAAGCTTGATGACTGCTACTCTTCTAATGACGACCCCCACCCTTTGAATTAGCTTCTTGACCAGTGGCAGTTATTGAGCTTGATGACTGCCACTATTCGACCAGTCATTGGGCTGGATGAGTGCTGCCACACTTGACTGCTACCCTGCTGAACATAAGGCTGACGCCTCGGGTAGGACTGGGCCTTAGTTGTGCAATGTGACTTTCGGGCTAGTTGCTTTTGTTTCTGTGGATGTTGCTGTAGAATGTTACACTTTCGCAATGGCTTAGTTGCAGGACAGCAACAAGCACAGACGACGAATAAGTGAATGTAACTGCATGGACTAGAGCTTGTTGTGTTAAAGGCATGCTCAGGGAGGGCAGTTTCTGTACAGGATGCATTTACCTCATCATGTTGTACATTTTTTGTTTTAGCTGTAGCATCGTGTATCCAAATATATATCTTACAACTGATGCAATTAAATCTAATAAAGATAATCTATTTAACTTGCTTTTTTTGTGTGCATTTCAAAATTAGAAGAAAACCGCAACTTCCAGGTGTCTCATCGTGATATTGTGGAGGTATGTAACAACGACAGGAGAGGTCTCAGTGTCTCACTCCAACAACTTTATTAACTGACAGAACTTCACATATAGTCAGCGCCAAAATCTCCACCCCCACACTTCCTTTCAACTTGTGTGTGAGTGGAGCCACCTGGTGGTCCGCCACACATACCCCCCCTTGAACACACAGTCAGGTCTCCATTCAGTCCAGGACCCTGGGTCTAAGCAAACGACCCGCACGACTGAACCTGGGAGGGAGAGAACAGGCAGAGGAAGGTCCATCCTGTGAACGAGGCTGGTGAAGGCGAGCAGGAAAGGCAGGAGGAGGCTCAAACGTTGGTGGTCCGGGGGTAGTCCTGGGGGGAAAACCAGAGACTGTCAACCCCAGCGCAGGAGGTCGGCCACGGCGAGGGGCCTGGGCCGGCACTACATCACTGTCCGGAAGAACATGTGCTGGTTTAAGTCTGTCAACACACACAGTCTCCCTTCGACCCCCAAAATCCAAAACAAAATGTTTCTGGCCCGGTTCAATAACCCTGAACGGGCCGTCATACAGCGGCCGCAGCGGTGTCCTGTGGGCATCGTGCCTGACAAAAACAAACTTAGCAGTCTCAAAAGTCTTTGGAACAAAGGTGTCAGGCACGCAATGGTGCACCGGACCAGGAACCCGAAGCGAGTGCAAAAGCGGGGTGAGAGAGAGCACCGATGGATCGAAGCAGGGAGGAGGATTTTCAGGCAAGAATTCTCCAGGCACGCGGAGGGGCTGACCAAACACTAGCTCAGCTGGGGAAGCGCCGAGATCCTCCTTAACCGCAGAGCGCAGCCCAAGCAAAACCCACGGGAGGCGGTCAACCCAATTGCCATCCTTTAAGGAGGCGCGAAAGGCAGCCTTCAGCGACCGGTGGAACCGTTCACACATCCCATTAGCCTGCGGGTTGTATGCGGTTGTGCGGTGGACTTTAGCCCCCAGTCCATCAGCCATGGCCGACCAAAGCTCGGAAATGAACTGGGGGCCTCTGTCTGACGTAATGTCCGCGGGTGGGCCGAAACGCGAGACCCAGGTCGACAAAAACGCCTTGGCCACCACTGCTGCGGTAGTGGACGCCAGGGGGACCGCCTCCGGCCACCTGGTGGTCCGGTCAACAACAGTCAAAAGGTGCGTAAAACCTTGTGACTGCGGCAAGGGACCCACCAGATCGACATGCACATGATCGAAACGTTTGCCGGGTATGAAGAACGGCTCCAGGGGCGCCTTGGTGTGTTTATGAACCTTCGCGCGCTGGCAGGGAATGCACGCCGACGCCCATTCCTTAACAGATTTGCGAAGGCCTGGCCAAACAAATTTAGAGCTGACCAGTTTAACAGAGGCCCGGACCCCTGGATGAGAGAGAGCATGTACCGAGTCAAAAACTTGACGACGCCAGGAAGCGGGAACCACAGGGCGAGGGCGGCCGGTGGAAACGTCACAGACGAGGAGGGGACCACCGTCCTGCACGGGTCTGTCCTCCAGTATGAGGCCCGTCTGGGTGGATTTAAGCGCGAGGATGTCAGGGTCACCGCTCTGATCGGCAGCCATGGCGGAGTAGTCTATGCCGAGAAAGACGGGAGAAACCAGCGCACGGGACAAACAGTCAGCCACATGATTGGATTTACCAGCCACGTGCCGAATGTCCGTGGTAAACTCAGAAATGGCTGCCAACTGGCGCTGCTGGCGTGCACTCCATGGATCGGAAACCTTGGACATGGCAAACGTCAAGGG